AGCTAGATAGTTGGCTTAATTTGAATCTGATTTTTGTCATTTTCTGTAATAATGATGCATTATTTATATTTCCTTTCCTGCTATGAAAGGAAAAACTGTATTTTCATGATGGACTGAACAGTTTGGAGTGGTTTATTTAGGCAGCTTTTGGGAACTATTTACCTAAAGACCAAATATGAGAAATCTGTACAAGTTTTGTGTTCATCCACAAAATGGAACTGTTACAATGTCTCTGCAGATAATACATATTAAAAAACTATGAAAAAAAACAAACTCTACACAAGCTGAATTTATAACAGGCATTTAAAAAAAGTATAACCTGAAAAGAAACATTTCTGTAAAATTGCAAGATTTTCTTTAGAGGTTTTAAAAATAAAAAAAGTAAAGTTTTAACATACTTTTTTTAAGAAAAAAAAATCCAGTACTAGTAATTTAATTTGGTGTTGAATGAATTGACTAGAATGTGGTTTATTTTCAGAAGTGAGAATCTGTTCACAACTAGGGCTAGGTGAATAATAGTGTATAAGATTTTTTAAATAAAATTAAATTTTATTCAGCAAATCAACTAAGTTGAAATTACTCAACAAGCGTGTTTGAAATATTTATGTATATTTTGGAGTGCTTAATCCGATTGATGTTGGCAGTGCCACAGGAAACGGTATCAGACCAAACAAGCCAAGGGGATCCTTACTATCAGTTAATGGTAGGCAAGTGGGATGTGGTGTCCTCCTGGGTAGAGGGGCAGATGAGAATATAGCCTGGCTCCCGAGCCTGCAACCTCGTGGTGTTTTACACTTTTTGGTGCATGTGGAATTTGGCACAAGAAGGCGTCTTCATTCAGATGGATAAACCCTGTGAAAAAGCTGTGTGCGATGTGAGAAAACTGCTTACGTTCTTACATAAAAATAACATCTGCTTATCCGTGCTCTTGGGGCTGCTGAAGAATGCTCATACGGGATAATCCCCAGTGCTTTTGACTAATGCAGACTTCTACGTCTTACGTGTCAGGCCTTACTAAATTGAGTCGTCGGACTGTTGAAACAAAACTGTTTCCTGGTTTGTCTACGTATTTATGTGCTTCCCAGTATTAATTCAGTGATGGTACCTCAGAGTAGCAAAGGCTGAGACTCCTGTCACACTGCTGCTGCTGAGAGGATGCTCGTGGCCTTTCTTAAGTTGATCTTAACGTGCCAGTCATCCTGGCCTCCTGCCGTCAGGGCCGTCTTTCTTTTGCAAAGGCAAATCTCTTCAGGTAATGCGTGTACGTAGAGATTTGACCTCTCTTTAGGAATTGATGTTCTCTTTCCAGTTACATTTTGTGTTTTACAATGCATGGTATTACTTCCTTTTGTGCTCCTTCTAGGCTGCCTGCTCTTTCTTTCTGTTAAGAGTCAGCTTTTGTGTAATCTTCAAAATTACTTTGAAAAAGACTCAGAATTCTGACCTGTGGAAGACCCAAGCGTGCGTTGGCTTCTAGCGATGGAAGCGTTCGTCTCCGCTGCTGGCAAGTTCTGTCCTTCTTGCAAGAGATCCCTCTCCCTGACCTTACGCCCGCTTTGGTTTTGATCCCACTGTGTGTGGCAGCTTCCCACAGGTTTGGGAAGGCGGCAGCTTTCTCCTGGTCTCCTGTCAGGGGGATATTGCTGCCCTTGGACATCGCAGTTCTGCCTCCGTGCTGCAGCTGTAGGGTATCGCGTGATCCAGCAAAGCGACACCGAGTCCTCGACGCAGAGAGGGGGCTGGTGGTGGAGTGGTGGGAAAGGCTAATTCTTCTTGCTCGGTGTGGTTAGTCTTGGTTCTGAGCTGCTGCCTCCCCCCTGCCCACACTGCAGTGCACTTACCACACTGGTAGCAGTCTTTATTGCGCCATTTTAATTGTGCTGATTAAGGTAAATACCTGTACCATGCTAATGCCAAAAGTGACCTGCAAGAGCACTTCTGCTTCATAAACTGCTTCACAGTACAGATTTCTGTGCAGGAGACAAAACTGGAAAGACTTTGCCTTTAGTTACCTGATTGTTACCATACCAGGTTCATTTTAAAACGTTGCTTTTTAGAATCGTTACATCCAGAAGTGGAACTCGGAAGTTTCAGCAATCGATGTGCGAATCTTTGTCTTGTGTCTTGATTTAATTGTCCCCAAAAGGTAAATTTTGAGTGGTTGGTAGTCATCAGTACAGGCTGGATTATGATTTTGTATAGTTGTGATTTTTTTATATATATATTGACACACATGTGTATGATAGATATTTATCTAAAAATAATATTTTTTATATATATACATCTCATTTACACTGAATTGAGTGCTGCTTTCTACTAACCCAATCGGCCCCTTTCTTCACACATGTTTTAACAACATAGTTTAACATTCTTACCAAGAATCCTGCACTATAGTGACACACAATTAATTGCTAAAGGAAATGTCTGAAGTTAGTGTCTGGGTTGCTTTTAACCATCAGGTTGTTCTTGATCTTATTTGTGGACTCACAGATGAAAACAAGTTTTATTTCTGTTTCTACTTGTTTTCTTTCCCAACTATTAATAATCAAGCCAGACTAAATAATTTTCTGCATGTATCAGAGGCTCATTCCTCTAGAAGTTGTGTTAGCATTTGGGGCTGATTTTAGGTACGTAGCCAGGGATTTGCATTAGTGCAGTGATTTGACTTCAAAAACCATTGGCCACAAGTGTGTTGATAGCACAGGCTACCATGGTAACAGAGAGATGATTATTTTTTAAAAAAAGTTTTATGAGATGTGTGCTTACTGGAATAATTTTCATTAATGTTGGTTTGGTCTCTGATCCTCTTTTTATGCATTAGTTATGTTCTTGTTTCTCATCAGAGTCGGGGAAGTGCTTTTGTCTGAAGTACTAGAAAAATTCTCTAGGATGCTGGGTCAGGTTTTCATGTCAATACTTTGAAGAAATGGTGAGGAGAAGTCAAAGGGCTGTGAAACTACTGTCAAGGGCTGGAATATTGGAAGCTGAAAGAGCGTAACCTGTTCCTTTAACAAAAAGAATGGACTATTGTGTGAAATTCCACAGAATCTCTTACAGAACAGAACAGAGTCACTGGCTTGTTTAAACAAATACAACCTTTGGGGAAGAAGTAAAAAAACCCTGCAGTAAAACGGGGGCATTGAGATGGCTCAGTAAGAAAGAGGTGGATTCAGTAGCGTGGGACTCCAGCACGAGGGGCTGTCTGAAGCGGTCGTTGTTCTGTCGCCTTTGTGCTTGGGTCAGCAGCGCCTGCCCCAGCTCCATCTGCAAGAACTAGTCCTGTGTCTTGCGTCTTCTAACTTTATGGATTCATCTTTTATTTGCTACTTTGATGTGAATACCTGAAGGTTCTGCAAGCAATATTTGTTTCTGAAAGAAATAGCTCCTGCTGGCAAATACTTGGAATTATTGTTGGATTTACTGCACTGCCTGATCTTTCACTTCTCATTTCAGGATTCTGAGCTGTGCAATGGGCGCTATGGGAAGAGACAGCAGAATAGGGCAAGAGAAGGTGTTTGGTTATTTTTAAATACAAAAGAAATTCATAATCTGTATACTTCAGTAGCTGATGCTGGTGGAAATACACTGTTTTTCAGGAATAGTCATATTTTAGACTTACTGTGCAGATCCTGCCGTTTCCTTCAGCGGTGAACAGTCTGCAGCCCTGGCCTGTTTCCTCCCAGTCCGTGGGGTGCTCTGAGCGGGGCTCTCCCGAAGCCACATGTTTCCAGCTGGGAGTTAAGACACTGTGCTTAAAGGAAGAAATGCTGTTGGACCTCTGGACTGTAATGCTCATCCTAAGCTAACAACTTGACATTTTGAAATCTACTTAATCCTCTTCTGTCACATAGACTTCTGACAGCTTGCCTTGCCCCCTTTCACTCCGCAGCCTCCTGTGGAGCCCGGGGGTGTCTGGCAGGTGACTGGTGCCCTGCCCCTCCCTGGGGATGGCAGTTGGGTGCTGCTGCCGTGACCCCCCACCCCCGTGCTGAGCTTCACCCTGTGCAGCAGCATCAGGGAAACGGGTGTGGTGGAGATGGGGTCTACCTCATACTTAAAGTACTATTTATTTTCAAAAAAAATGACCAAAATACTATTTCACTTGATTGTACATGTATGCTTATCCTCTGTCCCACTTAATGCAAATTTTGGTTGAATTTAACTCCATAATGCAGTACAGCAGACAGTGAAGTGTTGGCAGGGCAGCCTGCAGCAAGCACTGGGGGTGTGTGATCATTCTTTAACCTAACTTTCAATCCCTTTAAAATAACCTGTGTACTTGGAGAGGATTTGCAAGGAGGAGTTTGATATTAATGATGTTTAGGGCTGTATTAAGGGATTCCATCGTTAGCAGAGCATTGCTGTCAGCCCGTGTTCTTGTCATTCTTGCTGTCACACTCGTAGAGATGTTTAGGGGAAGTTTTACAAGTTCAGCAGAGTTTTAATCAAGAAATATGCTCATATTCTCTCTGGTCACCTATAGAGCAACTTTGACAGGAGGGCAGGGGCATGGTGCCTCAGCAGATTAAGATATGTAAAACCTTCAAAGCACCGAGCAGAAGGCTTAATGTTTTAGTCAAAGCAGTTTCCTTGCTATTTAAAGTGAGTGCAGCTGCTTGGATCATAAACAGCTTACAGCTACACCAGGGAGAGGATTTAAATCAGCCCTGGAGGGGTTCTGATGCTTCCCTGTGCATGCCCTTCTCTGGGGAGAGGGCAGCTCCAGGGGGCTCGTTCTGCCCAGAGAGCTGTAGAAGGTAAGGAACATCAGCACAGCCCCTGGGGTGAATGGCACTGGCCACAAACAGGTTTGCACTGGAAGCTGGACTTGTCTGGGTATAAATCCCCTCCCGTACTCCTGTCCTTGGTTGCCAGGGGCAGAGATTTAGCTTCTGACCTTCAACAGCCACCCTTCAACAGCCACCACTGTTTACTCAGTTATGTATTTATTCCCCAAAACCTACGGCAACAGGACCTTTGGCTGTGATCATCAGGGAATACAGCAAAATTAGTCACTTTTATTTAAAAGAAATAACATATTACAAATAAGTGTGCAAAACAATTTGTGATTAAATACACATAAAAGCAACATGCAACCTTGACATCAAAATCTGCGTAGAAGTTAGTCCTTAGTATGTTAATTGACACTAAAAGAAACTTGTCAAAGTTAGAGAGTCTGCAGCTAAACAATCTTAGAGTGAACAGGCATGTCAGATGTGAAGCATCTGTGAAATTGAGTTTCAGAAGAGCAGGACTGCCCTCCCCGGCAGCAGATCGGAGCTTGTGTCTATTTCAGTTCCTGGTTTAGTCTCTTGTGCCTCAGGTCAGCAGTAAACGTTTGTTGCCAAATCACCAGTTCAGGAAAGAGGTTACAAGTCAGTCGGTTTAGTCTAACCTACCTGTCTCTAGGCCAACAGTATTTAGTATGCAACATCTCAAATAAAAAATAAAAAAGTTTGCAAGTTTAAAGCCATTGCCGAGCCGGACGCTGGCTGGGGCAGGGGCTCCACGCCCTGAGGGGACGTTTTGTGGCTCAGCCAGAGCCCAGCGGCCTCCAGCTCCTCCCTCCAGTTTGGCACCCGGACAGCTGGTGCTGAGCGCTGGCCCGGCCACGGGACGGTCCCCCCCGAGCGTGGTCCAAGCTCCAGGTGCCTGCGGCTGCGCTTGTCCCCTCTCCTCCTGCTCCGGGGCTGGGCAGGGGGGGCAGCACTCCTGCTCCCGGCCCCTGGGGTTGTGCGAGTGCTCCCCACAGTGCTCCCCCCAGTCCCAGCCGTCCCAGGGACGTAAAGCCATGCCTAAAGTCTTCTGTTTTCACACCCCTTTTTCTAAGGCCAGTCGTACACACGCGCAGCCTCCCGCAGATCTCCCTGTGTGGCAGGCACTCGTGTTTAATCTAAAGTCATTTCACAGTTTAAGAGAAACCCAATAGGCACAAGCTTGTTGAAAGCCACATCTTGAAAACTGGAGTTGATGACCATAACCCAAAGAGATTTTAATGATGAATATTTGCAGAAATGAGAATAAACATATGTAGTCCACTACTTCAGAGCTCGTTGTGATCATGTTGGGCCAGGCTTCTCCATGAGATCTGCTGAACTTCTTGATCAGTATTGGACATTCATACACTGTCCTTCCAAAGACCTGGAAGAGCCAGGGCAGGACTTTGACCCTTGCACTCCCCTCACCTCAGTCAAAGCTTGTCATCCGTCATTTCTAGAAACTGAGCATAGACATCCCTGGAGCATTCCCCTTTTTGGTTGAATAAGAACTTGTAGTAGCTGCCATCTGCACATATTGCTGAAACCAAAACAGACAGGGTGAGTTCAGCTGCTCAGAGGTGCTGTTCTCTTCTTTGGGCCCACAGAATGGAACAGGAGTTGCTCAGGAGGAGCCTGAGGCCCCTCGGTCCTCCCACCCTGGCAGCCCAGCGCTGCGCCCACGCCGGCCCCCCTGCCCCCTCTGAGGGCAGGACCAGCCCCCCCTCCCGCTCCCAGGGCAGACTGGGGGAGCCACAGTTACTCACCTATGACAGCATTTGGCTCTGTTCCAAAGGCACAAATGCACGGAGAGCCTGAGGGAACCTGAAATTTGGAAAAACTCCATTTGGAACTGAAGTATTTGGGGAGAAAGCTGGCAGAGGCCAAACTGCAAAAGAGATAAAAAAAAAAAAAAGTAACAACTTAGTAAGGTGTTGACAAGAGTTGATTTAGAACTGCTGGCGTGTTTGAACAAGGCCCAGGCTTACACTAACTGCTATTTTTGATTTTTTTTTTTTGTTGTTGTTCCAATATATATCAGGTAATATGTACAACTCCCCTTCTAGGGAAGGAAGGGAAGACCCTACAACTACCTTTCTGGCTTTATGTTTTTATGTGACTATAAAAATTGCCAAAAGGATTGATTTTTAATAGAGATTGTTTTATGTAAACTGGCCACAAAGTACACTCACGCTGAGTGGCCACTGAAAACACACCCCGACCTTCTGCTGGGATTCTGCAGCCCACAGAGGACAGCACAAATGTGGCAGTTGCTGGATAGTCCTAAATCTGCCACTCACGCACAGCAGATAAATTTTACCCCCTCCAGTAGTGCGGGTGTTCACTACTGCTTTGTCAAGATCAGTGTTTTAAACGCTATTAAAAGGTCAAGCTCCCCCCACCCCCCCTAAAGGCTCAAACCCTACCTTGACTGCTTATTTCTTTTGGGGTCTTCTGCAGCAAAGATATGTACTGTGCCATGGTCACTGGACACACAGATGAGGGAAGCATCCTGGTTGAAGTTAATACTGGAGAGAATAGAGAAAGCTGCAGCATTTCCACTGGCACCCCCCCGTCTGGTGTGCATCCATGTGCTGCTGCAGGGCACGCTCCGGCCGGAGCAGGGCCAGCCCTGGCAGGGGGAGCACATGCCCTCAGGACCAGGCTGCCCCGAGAGCCCCTCAGCATGGGCCATTCTGCCACTTCTGCTGAAGAAATGGCACATCCCTGCTCTGAGGAGTTGGCAGGTATTGGATTGAGACCTGCGATGCTCCTGATGGTGCCTGGTAGAAGAGGGGGAGCTTCCCCGCTCCTGGGAGTGCTTCCAGCAGTGGATAAGAGCCAAACGACTGCCGTGGGGTTTGACAGGCAGCACAGCAGTGTGCTGGAATAAACCTCCCCTCGCCCCCAGGGGCTGGTCCTGGGAAGCACTGGACTGCACTGCTGCAGTCCCCGTGTTGGAGCACGAGGTCCCAGCAGCCCCCAGCTCCCGCCCGTGCCATGCACAGGAGTGGGCCCAGGCCCAGTTTTGTGCCGGGTCTCAGCGCCGGGCAGTCCTGGAGTTCTGCCTCGAGCCTGTGGCAGCACCGCTGGCTGTTGCTCTCTGATGCCAGTTACCAGGCGGCCTCAGCACAACAGTACCCGTGAGATGACAAAGCAGAAGCAATTAAACGTACCAGTATATATTGGCTGCCTGTGATCCTCTTCGTAGCTCCTGGATTAAATGCCCTGATGAAGTATCAAATATTCTTATGAGGGTCCCCTTGAAAAAGAATTGAGCATTACATCAGGAAACAGAAGACTCTTCATCTGTGAATGCATCCTAAAAATTCTACCTGACCAGCACACTCCCCACACCCCACTGGGTTTTTCATCTCAGTAGATTTGAGAGAACCTCTCTCAAAGTTAATTTTTGGGAAGAATATTGATTTCCCCCACACCGTCACCACAGTGTTAAAAAGCTTTGGCATACAATCTTGTTACTTAGCTACTCAACTGAAGATTCTTCCAAGTTATGTTCTGGCACTAGTTTGCAAACATTAAGAGTAGACTGGTGTACAGCCTCTCGTGCCCGGGTGCTGTGAATCATTTCCATCGTGCTCCCACAGCCAGTGTACTCTTTTGGGAGTGCTGCTGTGCAATTTTTTTTTCCACTAAGTATGATCAGACTGGGGCTGGTCTTGCCTTACAATTAGTTCAGCTGACGTAATCTAAAGGAATTACCATATGCTCATTATCTGTATCGGTTCAAATCTGTGAGACTCCAGAGTGAGTCAGGTTACAGACACAATACTGCACTGGAAAAAACTGTACTTCACTGAAAGTAAACTAAGCTTGACACCAGAGATGCTAAACACGTCCATGGATCCCAAATGAAGCAATGAACAATTCGGCAGTTGGTTCATTTGATGAGTGGGTAACACGGTCACCTACAGCTCATGGTATACACCTGCTTAAACTGCATCTCCCCAGTAAATAACAGAACCCAGCAGAGAAAGATTTGAATAAATGTCAGCTTAGTTTTGATTTAAGACACAAGCTTGAGATGTTTGCTTGCAGTATGCTCAGTATGGCACTTTGCCCATACTCCTATTTCAGTTTGAAAATGCTGTTTAAACTTTTTCTCTACACAAAAAAAGGAATGTCTTAATAGAAATTCAGCAGGTTATTATTCTATTTAGTAGTGGCACTGGCAATTTTAAGAGCGTTATTTAGAAGACAATAATTAAGCTATAGGCTGTGCAGTAAAAACTAATCCAAACAGAGACTCATTGCATTGATTTAGCTTGTCTCCGAGAAACTCGCTGAGTGGAAGAGGTAGTGAGCTCCCCCCTTGCGCAGGTGGGTGGGGACGGTGCCCATCTGCCTTAGGGCCCTTTGGGCACCCTCACCCCGGGAGAAGGCAGGGCAGGGACACACTCTGCATTCCTGTACCCCTCCCAGCATCAGCCCAGTCCGAGGGGATTCAGGCTGTGCTGCAACTTCAGGTTTTTGTCACTGTACTGCATTCTTTAGCCCTGTGTAACACATGACTGCACACAATTTGGTAAATATTCCAAGAATCATTTTTGTCATTTACACTCTGTGGCATGTGCGTGGGAAAACCAGAGACAGCACAGCTCCCTCCTGGTCTGTAATGGGAGGTAAGCCAGAGCAGAACTACATCCTCCAGTATGACAGACCCATTTGCAAGTATTTCTTTAGCCAGTGGTTTTTAACAGAGTTGAAGAAATGCAAATAAGCTTTTCCCCTGCCCTTTATTTTGAAAATGAATAGTATTCAAGAGCACAGGAAACATGAACTACTTGGGCCAGATCTCATTCCAACGTCACTGAGGAGTCACTGCTACAGTTGGCTAAAAGAGAAAGGCTGCCTCAGGCACGGCCTTTGGATTGCTGTTTGGATGTCCTAAGGGAGCAGTAAGACTGAGAATGCATACTGCACTGCAATGATAAATGGTCCAATTTGTTATTTCTGTGTCTTTCCTACAAAAGGATACGGCTTTCTGTTTTAGGAGAAGTTACTCCACTAGAACACATAGTGAATCAGAGTTAGGAGATTATTCTTACTTTTTCTGATGCTGTTGCAATTCTTGTTCCCTGCAGGTTTAAAGCTATACAGCTCAAGACTCCCTCGTGGGCCGGGATGTCTACAGGAGGCTTTTCTGTATTAGCGAGATCCACTATCTGCACATGCCCAGTATGTGTTCCAGGAAATGCAAGAAGAGAATTATTACTATTTGGACAAAGGACACAGAGACCTAAAAGACAAAAAAAAAGAAAAGGAAGAATAACTGTGTAGTTCCTATACACACGCACACAGTAAATCAGAATTTAATCTTAAGGAGAACAGTATCCCAAAACATGATCCATCCATAAGTGCAGAGCACAGAGAAGTAGAGGAGTAGCCTAATTTTAACTCGCTCTCATCTTTCTTTCAGAGTAATCTAGTTGTGGTTATCCAAAATCTGGATGTTTTCAGAGACCAGATCCATCAGTCTGTTACAGCAAAGCTATTTAAAAAAAAAAAGTGAAGTCTCCTTAGCAGCTCAAAAAAGGTAAGAGTTTATAATAGGTGATACTTTAATCTCTCCTCTGTCCGTAAAACTGATTATTATTAATTCATGTTTGAACCTTGTTCTTATGGCACTTGCACTTTTTTTCTTCGTAACTTTTTGCCAAGCACTGAAGGTAAATCACGTCTGTCCCAGGTGTTCAGCTGCCAGCAGGTAACCAACCTCCTGCTGTCAGTCCCCAGCTGCAGAGCACTGGGGTATCAGGGAACACCACTCCTGGGAGTGAGTGAGCATCAGCGTGCCGAGTCCGCCTTTGGGTTGTGCTGCCGGGACTGCATTTGCTTCTAGTGGGCTTGAAAACCTCTGAAGATGGGGCCTCCGAGCCCACATAACCTCCTGGTGGAGAAAACATCTTCCTGACGTCCAAGCTGATCCTCCTGATGCATCAAGCTCGGCCAGCACCCCTTGTTCTACCGTCTGGCACTGCTAAGAGTTTGGCTCCATCGTTCCTGTAACTGTCCCTCAAGTAGCTGTAAGTGCTGCCTGCTGCTCACCCTTCAGTCTCCCTTTTGCACAAGTAACAGCCCAACTCCAACCTCCACATGGAGGCCATGGCGCCCTGATCAGCTCCACCGCGGGGCACAGCTGTGCCCGGAGACAGATGCTCACACAGCTGCCACTGCACCCCTCCAGTTCTAGACCCTCCCTTACACCTAGTCTTAAGTGTGCTGCTGACATGCTCATCCATCTCTTCACCCTCATGGTTCTCCTTCCAGAGGAGCCTCCCTTTTCCAATAAAGCCTACTGCAACAATATCATCTCCTCATGTCAAACCCAAACCCCACCCAGCACCTAGAGCTGCCATCACCGCGCTACACAGTGCGCAGCCTGTGGCACTACTGCTCATCTGGGTTCAGGGTACCTCCTGCTCATCTCAGCAAAAGACAAAGGCACACCTTGCTATTTAAAAAGAACAGTATCAGCTGGTTAATTAGACTCTTTCTGACACTGTAGAAAACAGTTTGCTAGATAGTTCTGGCTCTTTTAGAAAAGAGGAGTGATGGATGTACTTTATAACGGAATTCGTGTTTAAGCTTTCAGCACAAAATACATCAAGTTTACAGGTTCTTTACAGAAGATAGCAAATAGCTATTATAGAAATCAAATGTGTAACTTAACAGGAGTACATAAATAGTTTTTCTGTGCAAAGTATTAATACATTTTAATAACCACTTTATAAAGACAAAAGCATCTCCAAAGGGCACAACTATCGTGCAGTAGTTTAATGAGTTACTAAAGAAACTGATTCAGGCAGCTAAAGATAAATAGCAAGTCAAGAACAGAATAAACTTACGTCCATTCCCAACCCATATACACAACTAACCTTTAGGGTTGTAGCAGGTTTCAAAGACGTGCAACTGGTGGGGATTGTGTGTGAATGTGAAAACTTTAATCATCGAATCCAAGACTACCACAATTCTGAAACAGAGAAGAAGTTCCTGTGACTTGAGGTGGGTAAAACAGGGACACACATACCAATTCAGACCTGAAAAGGCTTTCAGCTGATTCAATGGCTGTATGCTTTCTGCCCCCCACAACACTCACAGCCTTACAAAAAGCCACACAGCTATGAGCCTGCCAAGCACTTTTATCCAAAGCTGTGACAGCAGAACCCCTCCACCCACACGTACACAGACTCCAGCTGTTAACAGATGCTCTTGCTCTAGAGATCTGCTCAAAATTCCCTCCACACTCCTCCATACCTAAAAAAAAAAAAGTTAGCAGAGCAGTAGCCATGAGAACATTTCCCTACATTAGAGGCCAGAGAGTCTTACACCAAGACTTTCAGATACCAGTATACTTTAGCTGTGATCTGTTAACACTTAATGCTTGCCCCCAGAAGCCTGTTTCACCTTTAATTGCTAGTGTTAAAGCAGGATCTTTTTCTTTCTACAGTGTACAAAGCCAAGCTGTGTGTTTTGAACACGTTGGTTTTTACCCACCGATCTCTTCGCAGCTTAACTGCTTTGACTTCTGTAGAAAACTCTATCTCGATGACAGTCTTCTTCTTCAGGTCATCCCAGATCATTACTAGAAGAGTGCAGACACTGCATTAGATCATCAAGGCATATCTGAAGATCCATGCTGCCTCCTTTACAACAGCTTCTGGTTTCTGAGAGGGCTAATCAAGAGGTGCATCCAAGAGTGAAGCAGTTACAGACCAGCATCCGTCTAACCAAAAGGTTATTCATAACACATCAACCCACTCTTTCATGCTGTGACTCATGCAGGTAAGAGCTTGGTAAACTCTTAACTGCAAAAGCTGACAATAAAAATACATTTTTCTAAGGACAATTTGTTTTGCTCTGAGGGTTATCAAAGAAATAAGGCAGCAGACAAACAGATTAGCCAGTTTTCCTACAAAGCATGCCAATGGGGGCCCTTTCCCCCCTCAGGTTGCTGAGCCCTGGAGTCTCTGTGCAAAGGGAACAGTGAGAAGGACAGACTTTGTCAGCAGGTCTTGGGGACTGACTGCTGCAGGTAACTGCCCGGTAACACTGCGATAGCAGCCATGAACCTCACCTCACCACACTGACTTAAATCTGCTGCAACACCCCTTCCATCCAGCCTGCAGAATACCAGAGCCCAGCTCAAGGCATCTGCTTTGGGAGTTCTTTGGGCAGTTTCACACAGACAGCAAGGTGAACACTGACACGATCTATTCCATGAGACTCACCTTTGTTAGGTGGGTACTTGGGCTTTTTTCCTCCACCCACTAGTGCTAAATAGTTGCAACGAAACAACATTTCGACATGGCCAACACCACCTTCTAGAAATTCTGAAAGACAAATTATTTTATTTAAAAGTGTCAGAACCTGTTAAAATGCCATCTAATTTTTACCACTGTTACAAGAAAAGCTCACATTATCTAGTGCTTCTCTCAGGCACCTGAGAAGAATGATATCTTCCTACCCTGGCTGACCTTAAAAAAACCCTAGAGAATCCTCTAAGAATGGGGGTGACGGACAAGAAGTTCTGACCAAAAGGCTGGGGGTGTTTTGTTTTGGTTTTTTTGTTGTTGGGTTTGTTTGTTTTGTTTTGGGTTTCTGTTTGATTTTTTTGGTGCTTGTTTAAAATTCAGATTCTCAGCAAAGTTGCTTTATTTTTCAAAGCAATGACGATCACCACTGTTTTCACACAGTTGAGACAGGCCTCATTTTCATATATAGACAGTCACAGCAAGGTTTTAAAGTGACATTAAAACACGCTGCATGAGAGAAGATGAAGCAGGATCATCATGGCAGCTTGATCATTTCTATTATACAGTGGGTTTGTAAATATGCTTAGAAAGCCTGTCCAGTTAGCTCAAATTCATTCCCCTCACATACACACACATTCAAGCCTGGTGTTGCTCTGTTACACTAATGCCATGCATTTTTAAAAGTACCACCAGTATTCACTGGTCATGAACCTTTTTATTTGCAAGATTTGTCTTTAAAGACTTGGTGGATTTGAGGAAAGAAGGCAAAAAGCGCATATATGTAACTGGACTAGAATCTCCAGTGCTGTTCCCAGGGAATACCCATGGCTGCTAGAATAGGTAAGAAGTGCAGCCCAGCTCCAGCTGGGCTCTACTCAGTGATGCAGGAAACAGTGAAAGGCAAAATGGATCAGCTGGTGCAGTTTCTCATAGTGCATGGAAAAGGTTTTTTTTTTTCTTTTTAAGAATCTCAACTGCAGAGGAAGAATAAGATACCATGCTTATGGTGCAAGTAGAGGAGCACAATACCAATCAGGGGATTTTATAATAAAAGAATTTTTCAGTTTGATGACATTTGAGTGGAGGCTTGGCTTTGTTTCATAGTCTAGATGGATGCCTGGCATTCTACTGGGGAGAGAGAACCAAACTATCAGGAGAAGAGGCCGTAACTGTGGCCTTCAGGGTAGATGAGAAGAGTTAAAAACACACTTCCACTTTAAAAGACTGTCCAATAACTCCACACACTGGCAGGCTGCAGCAGGAAAGGTAGATGAAACTAGTAAACCATTTCAAAGCTAGAGAAGTTGAAATTTCAGGACTCCAGAGACCTACAGTCAGAAATTGTGATGGGAGAAAACCACAAAAGTGTCTGAGGAGCTCGGAGGAAGCACCACAATGGAAAGATGTAAACATGCATGAAGAGTAGGAGAAGGGATTCAGCTAGACATTGAGAAGCACTGCAGCACCTCTGGAGGAGGAATCTATGGTGGGACAACTATGCAACACTCAAGGTAGATGCCTGGAAAGATGTTCACACTGGGGCATTAAATAAAGCCTTGGATTTCATGCAAGTCCTTGTGGTTTATTCAACACTTCTGACTGCAGAGTTTCCTTCCTGAACACTTGTATTTGGACACTACCCCCTTCTGCACCAGGTCCTCCTCCTAGCTCCATTAAAACATTTAAAGCATGACAGCACATTTTGTTACGAAGAGGTATTATCACCATGACAATAAGTTAAAATATTTACAAATTATAACCTCGGACACTTGCAGAACGTTCAGTGCGTTCTGAATCTATGTTAGAACAGACGCTTTAATCATTATCTTTACAGTTCTAACAGGTGATGCTGCGATGGGGAAATTCACAGAACTCCAGGATATAAGAAAGAAAAGCCAGGGTGTAACAGTTAAGACTTGGTTTCATACTGGGTTACAGAAATCAATCAAATAGCTCCAGTGGGAGCTTGTCTATCTTGGATGGGTTTAAATACATATGAAAGATGAACAAGATTTCTCTGTGTGCTTGTGCAGCCAGTACAGTCTGACCTCTCCAGATCATGAGTCTGACTCATAAGAAATATTTCACAATCAGAGTCCTGGAAGTATGTCCAGAGCTGCTGGCAGGGAGAGTTTTAACAATTCAACAGGATTTTGACCTGAATTCTGATACTTTTGGCACACTATCACAGATGACCATCCCAGGATATGTTGCTTATGGAAGAATTTAGCATTAAGAACAGAAAGCAGTTTGTCAGCTTTGGCCATGTGAACAGTGATTGAAATCTCTTACAGAACTAGAAAGTGAGAGCACACCTGGTTTCATAAGAATTGCTATTTTAAATACATTTTTTCTCTTATTAAATCATTTCTATCACCACAGGCTGGAAGTGCCTGTTTAGGACAGCAGCTTTCTTTGTCTATTTAGGGTTAGAATAACATGGTCAGGTTTAATTTTCCATTATTTTGACTCAGTTATGTTTGCTTTCTGATAAAGCGCCCCACTACCTGTTAATATAGCTCATCTAGTAATTTCTATAAAGACATGATACTAGGTTTACCACCTTAAGATACTCCCAAATTTTTAAGCATACAGAGAATATAAAATTTAGAGTATTACAAGTCTGAGCTCACAGTGCTCTTGCAAGCAATACTCTTAAGTACAAGAAATGTTACATTCAGATCTCCAGTAGAAAAGCAGTAGTTTCATTGCTGTAGTAGATCACCCAGATTACTGCATAGGAACAGAAGAACTTCTCTTGATGGTATCATGAGCCTCTTCTCCCTCTTATGAATAACCAGAAAACTTATCTCCTATTCAGGACTACAAACATTAGCAACAACTAACACAATTCAGCTTCTGCAAGAAGGTGAGACACATTCATCATCAGCCAGCTTTATGCAAATTAATAGCATATAAACATCTGACCGGGCAGTGGCATAAGTGAGAGGGGCCCTTTGGGACCAGCGTGGACTTCCTTTCTTGAGGCTTTATTCAAAGCCTTCCAGTGATGGAACGGTGAAAGCTAAGCAAGAATCTTACAGAAAAAAAACCACAAACCCCAAAAAAACTCCGTGGAGGCCAAGCTTCCACCAGAGAACTAGCACAGTATAAGTAAGCATTTTACCTTGCTTCTCTTTTTCTTTGAGTGGATCTGCATTATAAACTCGGAATCCGTTTTCCATTCCGCATGCAAAGCATCCTGTAGTAAAAAGCACATATATATACACATATATAGTAATTGCAAGAACCACTCAATAACTAAGCAACAGCCAGAGAGATAAGAGAGCATTACTCCATAACAGCATTGTTAAATCCAAGCTGAAGACCACTTGCAGGCTTTGTTAGTGTTTGCAAGTGAAAACCATTTAGAGGAGTTGTCCTCTATGGTGGCTTCCACTGAAAGCGGGAAGTTCTCAGTATTCTTTTTAGACAGGTAAGAAAACAATGGAAGGAAAGGAGAGCATTTCCCAACCCATCTGTATCCTACTCCATGCACTGCAGAGGGAAGGCAACCTGCATTTTAACTCTGATTGCCCAACAGTCATTATATTATGAAGCAAACCCCATCCCTTTTTATTAGCCCCAAATTTACTGCATTTATGACTATGTGAAGGACGATCCATTGTTCATGTTTTCACAGAAGACAGCCTCTCAAACATTGTTTTTAAGAAGGCTCTAATGAAAGACAGATGCCAATAATTACATGCTAGTATCTTAAATCTAAACCATGGAATGACTAGAAACTAAATTAAAATACTGTGGAAAATTATTTTAGTTACTTTTACGTACAGAATTATGCATGTGCCTTTTTAGTGGAATCCATCAAACTACTGTTTTAATCGCTAATGGTGGATGCAGTTACTAACAAAGAAATGCTAGTGTGAAGTTAGAGCAATCACAAGTCATTAAGAAGCAGCTACTGTCACTAGAGGCAGACTGACAAGATTAGTTGCTACACAATTTATATTCACTGTATCAAAAACCCCGTTAAGATCTTCAAGGCACTAGAATAGAGAAATTCAAATGAGCCTGGTTTTATTCATATGCACTGCAATGGATGCAATGATTTGAACCCCCCCAAATAAAAATTGAGGAGCTATGTCTAAATGCACCCCTTCACCAAACTCAGTACCCAAGAATCACAGGGTGGGTGGGGGAAGGAGGGAAGGAAGTCTTCACTCTTAACTAAGGTCTCCAAACCATTTATTTGCTCACAGCCAGATGATCTCGGGCACACAAGACAGAACTGGTTTGCTGTGGAGCCTCGGCTCAGAAACAGGCTGAAAGACTCAGACTGCCAGAGCCCGTTTCAGGTACTCCTGGCATTAAAGGTCACAAACAGCCAGCAGTAGTCCTCACAACACAGGCAACTAACCATCTTTGTGGCTTGCATTCTATTAGCTTAATATAAGCTCAATTTAAAAAATTGCATATGCTCACTGAAGACCAAGTGAGCAACATGTAATACTGCTCATATCTTGACACAGGTTAAGATGTCAAAAGAGATAATATAATTGGTGACTTTTTTGTTGTTGTTGTTGTTGTTGTTATAAACACAGAACAAAATCAATGTTCTTGCATAACAATACAAAAAAAACATCTAAACTTGATCTTGACAACAGTATTAGTTTAAAAACTCCACAACCTGGGAAAAATAATACAGGCAATCTGAAATTCCTTTTTAATACTTCGAGAGTTTCACTCCAAGTAGGGCTGCTTAAAAAAAACCCAAAAAACAAACCACACAACAAAAAAACCCCAACCAACCAAACACCCACTCCCCCACCCCCAAACAACAAAAACCAACAGCAACAACAAAAAAAAAAGCCCTACACACATCCTCTGCTTTACAGCCCAGCCTCTTAGGAGGTGTGTGGGGGGGTGTTTGGCAGCATCCTTAGGGTTGCCATTCACTGAACTCACACATACAAACGAAAGATTACTGCAAGATCCATCTCTACACCCTTCAACGTAGAATGGAAACAAATTAACCCTCTTATTTTACATATAGTCACAGCAGTCACAGACCCAATATACCAGACTGTTCTAACAGCTAAACAGCAAAGAAAACAAAACACACAGAAAACCCAGCCCCCAACCCAAAAGACTCAAAGGCACAATTTCACCCTGTCCAAGTTTTTGTGATAAATTAAGTGGAAAAAAAATCTTGTTTACATATGTAAATATACTTAAGAGAGTGGTTAAGAGGAATATAATAATTACAAAAGATTAGTAAACATTGAAACAGATGCTTTTAAGTGAACTATATTCATTTTACCTCCTCCCGTCTCAGTGCATCATGCTTTAGTTTGCTCTGGCAGCTGAATCCGTAAGAGCACGCTGTGCTGAAGTCACAGCACTAACAACCTGCCACCTCGTGCAGGATACTTTATTGGGCTAACTAGAAAGCAAATTACACGGAAACATTTAGCTCTCCACAAACCAATACTGCACAGGATGAGAACTAATTTGTTTCTGGTAGCTGTAGTGTGTATCCATATAATTATTTTTCCAGTGACAGTTTTATAATACAATATTGTATTTCCAGGAGAGGGGTGCTGGAACTGTTGTACAGTAAAAGAGCACTGTAAAGTTCTACTTTTAAAGTTAATACCAGCAGGTTATAACAAACCCAAATGGAGCATTTCTAAGGCAATAAAATACAGGTATTACATTTCCTGTAGCACCACTACAGCTTTTCTGCAGGGCTAACCTCATGACCAAGATGTGGGCTGCTTTTAATGTCTTGGGAATATTTACATTTCTAACTAGAGACAATACACCAGAGCTGAGAGAATGTAAGTAATGGTGATATTCCCCACACAGTCAATCATTATTGACAGAGATATGAAGGTCTCAGTCATGGCAACCCCCAAGCCAAACAAGAGAAAAAAAAACATACAGATTACTGCTACTCATTCAACTCCAGGTTACAGAACAGCTTTGGAGCTCAGTGTTTCCCATCTGACTGATCCCAGCATTTACCAGTAGGATCACAAATTCGACCGCTACAGCTTGTAAGCTTTTATGTATGTGAGAGATGGAGAGGGGCTGCCAGAAGAGAGAATTGCTGCAATAATAGGTACACTTCCTTCCACAGGAAGTTCACATCTCAAAATTAAGAAGGGACAGGCATGCTGTCAAAAGAGCCACTGACAGAAGACAACTCGGATACTTTAAAAACCAAATTATTAAAGAATTATTACCCTAACCCACAGCTGTGCTTGTTCCTACACTAAAAGTACTATTTGCCAAAAGTCCCAGTGAGGCCAGTGAGTTTTGTTTGTTTTTCTAAAACCAAAGAAAAAGGAAGGGTTAAATTAATAACTATCCTAGAAGATGCCATAAGCTGAAGCAGGCATGCTGACATAAAGAAATCTGCAGCCTTTAGGACCCAAGATCCAAAAACTGCAACAGTGAAGCCTAGGGAAGTGACGATGACAGGCGCAGTTCCTAGCACATTAGTTTTCCTTGCCACAGCAGATTTTGTCTAAAGCAGTAACAGAGAGCACAGAATCCTACTAACACTTACGGGGTCCTATAGCCAAGCATTGTAGTCCACTAAAAGAGATCAAATGAGTAAGACGAGTGTTTCAACACCAAAACAAGTCCACACCTCAGTTTTCAAACTAGCAATAGACTACAATAGCAAGAAAAGAAAAACCTGTCAGCAATTTACACGTATACTTTCTGGTATGGTAATTTATTATGATGCTTTGTCCATTCAGTTCTGTAAAGCACTTTAATATCCTACTGAAAGCATTAGGAAAGTGCCTGAAATCAGGAGTATACCAGCTCGAAATTAAGAACCTGAAGTCAGAATATTTCGTTTTAAAACGAAAACACCTTGCAATGTGGCCATTCCTTTTTGGGGGGTTACACAGTTTCTTTAATTTTTAATTTAAAAAGAAAAAGCGGCAAAGGCACACAATATAAAAATATAGTAATATATACTATGAGTATACTCAAAACAGAGTAAGGGAAGCACACTTCAGAAAAACTGCAAATGCTATCTTCATCACTTGTCAGTCATGGAAGTTAAGACTTGGAGAGCCTTATTAGATCACTCCTCCCATCTTCCCATCGTTATGGGATTGGCTAGTCTTAAATTACTAAGAAATTAGGTTATTGTGACAATATACGCAGACAAGCACACTACTAAGCTTCAGCACTCAAGTGACTCATATTTCTATTTCTGGTAGAAGCAATAAGGAAGAAGTGAGCTTTTCCTCTTATCTGCTTCTTTGAGCAGCCAAAGAATTACATATCCTTTAACACTATACAAAGCCTCTAAACCAGTAAAAAGTTAGCATGCTGCTACCTACAGTTCAAAAGTCATCATTCATCATCAGGACAAGCTCCAGGAGCCTGCAAATGAAAGCCAAACATGTTTTTTTCTTCAAGTTTTCTGCTGTTATTCAATTGGCTGGCCAGGCTTGGTAGGATGGGACTTGATACTGTCAGCTCACAGATTCCCAAGTCAAATTCCTTGACATACTTTGGATGTGATACTATTCAAAAGCATTTATTTTGCATTTACTGCTACAGAATTTAAGGAAGCCTTTACAACAAAGAACAAGTTTTACATCGTAAATGGTGTTATAAAAACATTCTGCAGTAAAAGGAAACTTCTTACACAGTTCTCTTTATAACTGAGCTCCATCACAGGCCAAGCATCAAATATTACCATTTCATTCCAGACCCCTGCAGATTTGAAATGAAGCTCATCCTCACAAATCTCTTTTTCCATCTCTGTTGCAAATGAAAGATGAAAATAAGTGCAGAGTTGCTGAAAAACAGACTATTCTATTGTTTTCAAGTTAACAGGAGAATGTGATGACAGCTACCAAGATGCTCGCTTCATTAATGGCTTGATACACTACTGACAAAATGTCATCAGAGACGTTAAGACTAGAATCAACAGAATCATTCATGTTTACACATGACTTCAACAGCATCAGCAACAGGTCTACAACTACAGAAGCTTCAAGACTGTCTTAGGCAAGAGTATTATTTGTTAAGACAAAAAGATGTTACAAAATTATGACCTTCTATTTCTTATTCCACAAAAAGGACACTTACTCATAAAACTGGTGCTATTTTTATACTGCAAAAACAAGTGAAGGCATATTGTACCCCTTTTCTAGAAGGGGCCTTCTTCCCCTTTCTAACAAAGAAAAAAAAAAAATACGGTGAAGTTTTTTTAGTGGTCCATGTATCTG